CAAAATCTGCACGCGATGCCTGGAACACCACCTAACTATGTTTATTCGAGTTTTTTTTACTTGCATGTTCACTCTTAAACCAACTTGGTCCTCGAGCAAACATTGCCGATGACATACACAATGTGTGTGTCGCGTGCAGATTTTGTAAACGTGGATTGTGTTTATTAGGTTGATATTGCGGTGGATGTCAGCCCTACCTTCGATGTCTTTTCCGATGGCTTGTAAGCCAATCGCTTCGTCATCAATAACGAGGGAACGGACGCATCCGGTGAAGCCACTAGAATATTAGTCTCAAAAAGGCGAGTAAAAAAGAATAAAAGAGATGACAGCGATCATTCTACGTACCTGTCATCATCGTTGAGTTGAAGTTTCCCCTTTGGAATCTCTGTTTCGTTAATGGCGGTGAATGAGTTGAAGCCGTCGACACCCAACCGGATTTCATCGTTCGCTATTTCCAGCACAAGAAGATGCCATTTTGTGTCGTTCAGCCTGAAGTTTTTTTTCTTGGAAGACATAGTGTTTGCCCACATAGCAAAAGCTTTCTGTACGCTGATCGCTAAAGCTTTCTGTCCTCATAATAACATAAATAAAAAAAGACTGAGATCAGGTGTGAAGCCATTGTTCAGTGAGCATGTCGATATTCAGACACAAAGCCAAAAGTAAAACAAAGCACTTGACACCATTTGGAATGCGCCACGCATTCGAAGTCGATTTCCCGTCGTTATGGGATTTGAATGGGTACTAATCTGTATATGTCGTGACTCTAACAGACCATGCTATGTGCAAGTCTGCACCCTGTTCTCACAGTCGGACGCCTCCCCAAGTGACTGACTCAGCAGGAAATATTCGGTTGGCTCATAAGCAATGGCGTTTTTTCCCACGCAAATTTTTATATGGAAAATGATAATTTTTCCGAAATGTTCTGATTGTTTGATAGATAATTTTCTGCTCTATAAGAGAGTTGCTTTCTACTGTTTCTTGATATTTGCCGATTTTTATTCCATTGAAATGGAAAGTCGAGTCAACCCAAAGGTGAGTTTTCGGAAGTTCAAAACTCGTGACATATATGGCCAAGGAGTGACGCTTCTTATGACAGCTTGAATTGGTTCGAGCGATCAAGAGGTGGCAATTCCGACCTTGAAAATGGGAATCGCATGGGGTGTCTCCTTGTGGAGCGACTGTCTGCAGGACCCCCTAAGTTTTGAACTTATAACATCAACTAAGGGTGGTGCTTCCTAATGATAAGGAAGAATCGCATGACCTCTAACGCTTCCTCAATCTTCGGAATTCTCTGCAAAACACAACAGAACTCAATGGCAAAACGTTTAATCTTTAGCGAAATATTTTGAGTGAGAAAAAAAACGCCATTACGTATGGGTCGACCCAATAGGTCAGGACCCTCAACAAAATAATGGAAATATAGCAATATCTCCGAATAATTTGCCAATGAATTGGTACTT